CCTCACTTCCCACATTCTAACTTCCTCCCCTCCCTCTCCTCTCTCCACCTCCCTCGCTTCTCTTCCTCCTCTCCTCCACCTCCGTCTCTCCTCTCTCTTCCTTCTTCCCCTTCTCCCTGGTCCTCCTTTTATTTCTCCGATTTCTCTTCTGTGTAGAAAGTGCCCTCGCATCCAGCTTCCCCTCAAGCTCTAGTCCCTGCTTCTCTGTTTTGCTTTCTATAATATCAGCAACCAAAGCTAATACCTTAAAGGCTACTACTGTGTGCGTTCTAGTCTTGAAATAGATTATTTGCATTTTACCATTTACTTCTGTGACTCTGGGCAGAATTCTGAGCCTCCATTTGCTTCAATTTCCTCTTCTGTAAACCGTGCATTGCGATGGCACCTAAGCCATAAGTGTCATGAGAATTCAGTCCAGGTATTTGTGAAAAGACTCAGAGCACTGCCTGGCACATTGTAAACATTGTATAAATACAAGCTTTAGATAGATTTCTTGGTCGTCATTGTTTTCAGTTACTGTCCATTGTTATTAAAGTATCTATTCTCTGTCTCCACTTTCACTACTAGAAATTTTCTTTTCATATCAACTTACTGAGTAATATTTAAAGTGGTTAGTCTTCTGAAAAAAAAGTTTTTCACGTATTTTCACAGGTAAAATTTTAAGTATTTAAAAGCTGTGTAACTCTCTTTATAAAGTTGGGTTTCATTCTCCAGGTAGGAGGAAAGATGCTTGTGGGGGAAAGGTTCTTGTACAGAAACACCCCTAGCAGCTTTATCAGCTGGAGCTGGCTTGGCTCTAAAATACTTAGTGATTTTTGTGGCTTGATTAAAGTATTGGTGGCTTAAAATTGGCAATGATGTGAGGTTTTTTACACCCTGGAACTCGGGTCAATGCCACAAATCAGGACCCATTTATTAGCATATCACTGTATAATTTTGCTTAAGACCAAGATCATTCTGAAGTTTGATGTAATGACAAACCATTTAATGGTGAATTTTAATATATTACCAGGCTAAGTTGCACCTGCAAGATTTAACAATTACTATGTAAATTAGAAGACAATATAATCATTACCCTGAGCTTGGGTGTGAGCGCTAGCATTCAACATCAGAGGAGGACCAAGTGAATTTTTAAACCATCTTAAAGACTAAAAGAAAAATCCTCTTTTTCAATAAAAAGGACACATATATTTCAAAGAAAAAATTCCTCAGATCTTAGAGCCAAGTTAGGGCAAATTCAGAATTTAGAATAATTCTTCAGTTTTACCTATAACATCGCAGTGGGAAGAGGACGGTATGAGCAAACTATCTTATTAGACTTTGGCTATTTGTTGTGATGATAAGAGATAATTCGCCTTTTGAAAAACTGTCTCATGAAATGCTCACCGGTTGCTTGGCTTCTTCTCGCTCACCGAGTGAAAAAAAAACCACATGTAAGATCTTTTTGAAACTGACTACTTCGCGGGTTCCACTTCCTGTTGTGAGGAGTTAGCCGTATCTCAGGCTCACTAAGTTCTCAAGATTGTTTTCATTCTCTCATGTAAACCGGTTTAGGTTTCAACTTCATATATATTATGTGAAACTGAAATTCTCTGAAGTTTGTTGTTCTATAATCTGCAGTTCTGCTTCTGGTTGGGGCGAACGGTTTGAACAGTTATGTTTTAGATCTTATTATAATAATTTGCCTTAGGAGAAGTACTGTCGAAGGAGGGTTGACTTAATGACTAAACTCCCCTGCTCCCCTTAAAAAGAGTCTGAATAAGTCCTCTCTGGGTGTTGGGTACTCACCCTGCTTGATGTATTGTCCGGCTTGGAGCCCCACTTCTCATTCAGCCCAGGTGCATAGATCGAGGCTTGGTTCTGGGCAAAGGTGAGACAAAGCCTATGGTTTGATTTGGGGCTTTCTCTAGACTCAGCTGCTAAGTTGGGTGGTGGAGCTGGAGCGCCCCCAGTAGCACTGGAAACCTGTGGATGGATGGAGGAGATTCACTGGCTCCCAGTTGGGAGGGATGGAGCAGGTACTGCCTCCCTTCTCAGATCTTGTAGCTGTCCTTTCCTGCTTCCTCTCCTGTCTTTTCAAAGATGCTCCTTTTGTGTGAATGAATGTGACTCACCTTGCTCAGATGGGGCCAGAACCGTCTAGGAATCCTCTGTCTGCACGTCCCTCTTCTCCCTGCCCCCCTGGCTCTCAGTCTGTCTCCAGTGCTCCTGGGATCTCTTGGATCCCAGATTTTCTTAAATTGTTCCAGTGTCTAAATTGACTTACTCCCTTCTTTGCCTTTGGTCCTGGCTCTCAGCTAAGTTTTAGCTACCCATATATTTTGGGTAAAATATTTTGGGCTAAAATATTTTGGTAATAGGTTTTACTGACCTCAGATAATTGCATATACAAAAGAGCGCAAGACACCGCTTGAGAGAATGGAGGGAATTTTAGGCCAAGATGCAAGTCAGTGTGGGAGATGTCTTGTGAAGTGGAGCTGAGACTTGGTCGAAAATGCCCAATGTTAGTTGTGTGACTCTATCATGTCTGTCCTGCCAGAGCTTCAGGGCAGCTGCTGCCTTTGCATGTCTTTTTTTTCCAAAAGGATGCTTAATTTCTTCAGGGATAAAACTTTGTTCTGATATTCATAAAAGAAAAAGTCAGTATAGGATTTCCTAGGAAATATAATTTAAACACTTGAAGATCATCATTATTGCTGAAGGAAATACAAATGTTATCTATCCTAAAAATTATTATGAAATTTTTATTTATTAGATATGAATGATTTGTTTATATCTATAATCATATATTATGTAATCATGTAATATTATATTGCATGTAAAATCACATAAAGTATTTTTAGTTTTCAGTGCATTTATATGTACAATCATTTTTTTTTTGGGGGGGCTGGGGGAAGTAATTAGGCTTATTTATTTATTTATTTTTGATGGAGGTGCTGGGCATTGAACCGAGGACCTCCTGCATGTTAAGCAGGCGCTCTACCACTGAGCTCTGCCCTCCACTCTACATGTACAATCTTGTTAAATATTTGTGAGACCTATAGGATTAGAATTATTATAAATATCTTGATTTTACAAAGGAGGAAGTTGGCTTTGAGTGGCAAACTGACCTTTCCTTGGGTAGCACAGCTACTAATTATACAACAATGAGTTGACTGCAGGCCTCTGATTTAAAAATCCCGCCCTATTTCCACTGTGTCATTGTCCCTCTTTACACAGAGTACAACAATTGTAGTTTCAGATCAATAGTTAGATACAGAGAATTCCAGCCAGGTGCATCGAGAATCACGTTATAAAATGTTGGAATAAGATTGCCTACCATTTTATAGAACTGCTTTTCAAGTATGTAAATTTTTTTCCCAATTCTCCACTTGTTACCATACGTTATTTGAACCTGAACAAATTCAGCTTAGATATTGTGGAGAAAAAAAATGAAACTTCTTTAATCTAAAATGTCTCTC